CATCCTCCTCATCCTCATCCCTCCGCTGCTCTTCCTCCTCCTCCTCCTCTGGCCTCCTCCTCCTCCTCCTCCCCCCCCCTCCTCCCCCTCCTCCCCTCCCCCTCCTCCTCCTCCTCCCTCCTCCTCCTCCTCCTCCTCCTCCTCCTCCTCCTCCTCCTCCTCCTCCTCCTCCTCCTCCTCCTCCCCCTCCTCCTCCTCCTCCCCCCCTCTTCTCTCTCTCTTTCCCTCTCTCTCTCTCTCAGCCCGCCTTGGCGGGCCCCCTGGCTCCGTGGCCCAACCTCGCGGCCCGAGGCAGCGCGCCGCCCACAAAGCCACACCTTTCTCGCGACCAGTGCTGGCCTGTCCTCGCACGCGCAGGCCTACAGTCGGGGCGCTGACCTGAGGAACCCTAAATAAGGAACGAGGCCTCTTTTCTCCAGAAGCCGAACTTCGATTTCCCTTCGGAAACCAAGGGAAAACCCAAGGCAAACTGTGAAGCAATCAAGGAACACGGAGCCCCTCCCCAACGAAAAGGGTTCCTTCTTCAGGGCCCCGACTGTAGGTGCAAATCATGATTGATGTGCGTCAGGACCCCCGCTTGTGCCACAGCTGGCTGTGCTGTAGGGTGGGGGGCAGGGTGGCAGCAAGAACGGTCGCGGGCACTGGTGCTCAGCGCTGCTCTCGGCCCACTGCATGATCCTCTGGGTCTCCTCGATATCGGAGATGAGCAGCCGGACGATGGGACCCTGTCCGTGCTTGGCCGCCTTCGTGCAGGCGACCGATGCGTATCGGATCGGGGCCTCCGGCCGCGGCACCTTCCGCAGCCAGGTGGCCAAGGCTTCGGCGTAGAGTTTGCCGATGGCGTCGACCGGGGCATCCAGTCTGTGGGTCGACCAGGGGCTGCTGTCGCCACCGCTGTCTGGCGCGTGCTTCGCGCCGCCAACGTGGCAGTAGACGGCGTCTGGCTCGTGCCTCGCGACGCCTCCCTCGTAGCTGATGGTGTCGAGCTCGTGCTTCGCGACTCCGCTGTCCGCCGTTGGGCGTCCAACGTCGTAGCTGATACCATCGGGCTCGTGCTACACGTCGCCTCCCTCGTAGCTGGCTCCGTCGGGCTTGTTCTTCGTGACGCTACCCTCGTAGCTGATGGCATCGGGCTCGTGCGTCGCTGCACCACACTCGTAGCTGATGGTATCGGGCTCGTGCTTCTCGGCGCCACGCTCGTTGCCGATGACGTCGGGCTCGTGCTGAGCGCCACCCTCGTGGCTGATGGTTTCGTGCATCGCGTCGCCTCCCTCGCCGTGGCTGCTGACGCCGGTCTCGTGGCTGGTAGTTTCCACTGCCTGCCTGCCACTGCGGCCATTGCCTGCCACTGTCACTTCTTCTCGCACGCTGCGCCGGCTGCCACTGCCGGCATTGTAAAATTGCATTGCGTGCAGTGCTGCACCATTGTCCGCTGCCGATGCACCACTGCCCGCTCTGCATCTTCTAGCACCACTGCCTGCTGCCGCAGCCAGGTCTTCTCGCACCGCCGCCTGCTGTCACTGCAGGGTCTTTCGCACCGCTGCCTGCTGCCACTGCCTGCAGCCACCATATTCTCTTTTCGCACGTGCTGGTCTGCAGCTGATGGCGTCTGCGGCACGCCCTTCTTACCTGCGCCTGCTTCCGCTGCCTGTCCGTTCTCGCACGCCTCTCGCACCTGTTGCCTCCACAGCCGTCTCTTCCCGCGCGTTCTGGTCTGTAGCTGATGGCGCCTGTGCCCCGCTCCCTTCTTGATGCACCACTTCTTGAGCCACCTCTTGATGCACCACTACGCCCCCTCCCCTGCAGAAGACGAGAATGTCAGGGGTTGCTGCGCTGTCGATTGTACACATGCTGTATGCAGTCTTGCCTTTAAGCCTGTCTGTACGCAAGCTGCATGCTGCCGCTGGCAGTTGGTAACGTAGTTGCTGACTGACATCTGGCGCTTTGCTGGCGTCGGTCCAGCACTGCAGGAGACCAGGGATGAATTATGAAGAATTCCTGTTGGGTCCTGAGCCCGCTAATTGTCGTATCGTCTGTACGTCGTATTCAATATGTCGCACTGCTGCCGCTATTTTTCGGAGCAGAGACATTTGAGGTTCTGGATTTGCCCCATGGGTTGTGTGTTGGTGTGGTTTCAGCCCAATCTGGGCACACAGGTTGGACGTGGCCACCAAAGCTTGTCGTGCCACTCGTTTCGTTCTCAATTGACTTCTCTTGAATCGCGATGTGGGCTCCACGGTCGCCACCACCGCACAGAAGTTCCAATTCCTTGAATCACGAGGCGTGGCAGTGTTCGGCGCGACCAGTCCTGCTATGGCTGATGCGCCCACCTGGCCGCTCTCGGCCCGTGGGCTGGGGACGGCCCCAGCGGTCCCCCGGAGGGGGGACCGCGGTTCGAGCCCCCCATGGCCCTTCTTTTCCTCATCCTCTTCCATTCCTTCGGAATTATTGTTGACGCTTCGCGAATCCCCACCAGCATTTGGCGGCTGCTTCTGAGTGCGGGCTTGGCCGCTGTGCTTTTAGGCTTGCGCGTGGCCAATTTGACAGGCCCGTGGCCCAGACCTCCCACTCGGCGACTGCGGATCCGCGTCTGCCCGCGACCAAAAAAAAAAATCCCCACCAGTTTTGGACGGCGCGCAGCTGCCTGCGTCGCTCGCGAGCAAAAAGTCTCCCTACCAGTTCTCCACCTGCCGCACGGCCGGCGCGGGCCGTCACTTTCGGTCGTCCGCCCGCCCTCCGCTGCCCCCTCCGCCTCGGCCTCTCCGCCCCCTGCGGCTCGTGGCCTGCGGAGGCATCCTTCACCAGCCTGGGGCCTGCTGACCTCCCGGTCGCCCCCCACCGTGCGGGTTGTCTCCCTGACGGCCCCCAATCGGGACCCACCTCGCCCGCAGCTGGGCGCTTCCGTGGCGCACCCCGGGGCCTTCGGTCGATTGGGTCGGTCCCTGCTCGGCGTGCGACCGCCCGCCCGCACCCTCTGCTCCGCGGCACGCGGACTCGACATCAGTCTTCGACGGTGTCCGGCGAACGGGACCTTGGGCCGTTGAGCGCTTGCACGTGAGTTGGTAGCCGCCTGGCGGCGCGTGGGATACGCCCTCTATCCGTGCGGCGAGGCGACCGTTGGTCCTGACGCCTGCTCCTCGTGGTGCGTCTACGAGCCAGCGTTTATTGACCTCCGGCACGCTCGCAGTGTCGCCCAACCAGAATTCCACGCCGTTTTGGCGTTGCACCCCAGTTGGCAGCTTCCCCCCCCAGTCGACGGCGCCCTCTTGACGGCTGCGAGGCCCGCCTCCTGTCTGTTCCTCCCTCCGCTTTCCTCCCGTTGCTTCCCTCTTCCCCTTCCTGGTGCGCAAGTTATTGCGTAGCCCGCTAGCTACGACTCCTGGACGGCGTCCGGCGTCGCCCGGTGCGCTTGCGATCAAAAAAGTATCCCCACCAGTTTGCCCGGCTTTCGACTTGCTTCGCGAGCCCGTGGACCAAAAGTGTATCCCCACCAGCCCATCCAGAAACGATGCCTAGGGGAGTTGAGGTGATCAGGGAATTGGGGAGGATGCAGAAGAACAGAGGGCGGGGGAAGCCGTCATATACCCCATGAGGAGGAGTAATCGTCGGAGGAAGAGGAGGAGGAAGAGGAGGAGGAGGAGGAGGAGGAGGAGGTGGAGTAGGGCGACGACAAGGAGGAGGACAAGGAGGGAGAGGTACCTCGGGGATCCTCTTGAAGCCTCGTATAAGGTCTCTTGGGAGCCTCTTGGAAACCTCTTGAGGCCGTCTGGGCGGTTCTTGCGGCCCTCTTGGGGCGCTGTTGGGAGCTTCTGGGGCGTTTTGGGGCCATCTTGGAGGACATCGATCAAAAAGGAGGGGAGCTCCAATTAGCGCCCCCCCTCGGGAGCACCGAAAATCGCCTCCTGGACCCCTCTTGGGGCGCTCTTGGGGCCGTCTTGGGGCTCTCTTGGGCCTCTCCTGGGGCTCTCTTGGGCCGTCTTGGAGCTATCTTGAGGCTTCGGATGGCTATCGGAAACGAAAAGGCGAGAAAACAAAAATCGCTGATGTCCGGGTGTGGGAAGGAATCTGACTTCTTGGAGGCCTTCCTGGAGGTTTCGGTGGCGACTTGAAGCCGTCTTGGAGCGTTCTTTGGGCCTCTTCGAGCATCTTGGGAGCCGGCTTGAGGCATCTTGGGTTATCTTGAGCCATCTTGGAGGTCATCTTGGGGCGAAAAAGTACCTTTGATACCTGCGGGGCGCCCCGTCCAGGTCCAGGGGAGGGGGTATGCGGGGAGGGGTAAACGCCTCCCCGACGGGGACGAAGGGGGTTGGAAGAGGAAATGCCCTAGACCACCTGCGCGTTTGGGATTTATCCTTGTCGTGCCGCGAGGCTGGTCGGCGCTTCGCTTGAGACGTCCTCACCACCCAATTATGATCCTTAGGCTTCTACATTGGAGCAGCTTCACCAATGGAGGGCAGGCCGTTTCTGAAATGCGGTTCTCGCCTGAGCGCCGATCACAGTCGGCTTCAAAGTCTGCCGGGGCTTCACGGATGGACGGCGGGCGGTTTTCAAAACGCTGTTCTCGTTGTCAAAGTTTGCACGAACTTCACGGACGAAGGGCGGCTCCTTTTCAAAACGTGGTTCTCGCCTGAGCGCCTCACACAGTCGTCTTAAGAGTGTACAACACTTTCAAGGTTTCTTTTGGGTGACGGCCCAGATATCATGTTTTGGCACGATGTAAGATTGTCAGGGCGCAACAGTCACGTTTATCCGCGGTGTTGCAGTCCCAGGAAAGGTTTTCCGGCATGGTTCTGGATTGTCAGGACGCAACAGTAACGCTCATTCGCGACATTGTATTTCCAGGAATGATCTTGTGGTTCGGCTCAGGATTTTCAGACGGTTGTCTTCCAACGGGGCAGCCCTCTCAGTGGAAATGAATCGGGAATTCGGAGGGAGAATTTATTGCAAAATCGTTGATGAGTCTTGGGTTTACATTGGTCCTCCAGCCTCTTCCGCGACAGGTACGAGAGGTGCGCGTCGCAGTGCGAGCTGAAGGACCCACGGGGACCGGGCGATGCCCTGGCGGCGGCCGACAAGCGGTTGACCCCATCGACGCGCCCCTCGACCTCCGCCGGCCATCACCACCAGATTTGGCATGATCATCACCGCCCTCTGAACTCTCCACCGAAGTCTCCCGCCACCCTTCTCAGGGGGGACGCATCGACGCGCAATCGTTCAGTCATCGCAGACAGGGGTCTGATAGCCCCACCCCGCCCGCCCGGGACCGTGAGGTTTCGCTATCGGCGGCCTATCGCCGATCGATCGACGATGTCGATGTATCGCCCATTCCAGGTCGATGTCTCCCCCCCTGAGCCAGTCCCCCCCCCCTGTCGTCGGCCCTCGCCTTCACGTCCTCCCCAAGAACACGTGCATCAGACGCACGGCGCTCACCGTGCGTTTGGGGAGCACGTCGCCCCCGGGCCACGTCTACCAGACCCAGCGTCGTCACCCAGAGGTTGCGCAGAGCTTGTCGCCGTGGAAAGAACTGTCCTGCCGACGAGTCCCCCCCCTGGCATGATTGTTCAGCGATACGATGAGGCCCGATGCTTGCATTACGTTATTGCATATCCTGGCTCAGCCGATCCTATTCGATTCCGACTCCGCATCGATGCAGCCCGAGTCGACGCATACTCTGATCCGATCCGATTTCCCGATTCGATGTTGCCTGATTTTGCCCTTGACTTCTGGAAGCAAAAAACGGTTGCCGTCCGAATGCAAGAGAGTTGTGGCAAAATGCGCGTTGCTATTCGCCTGGTTTCCCCTGGGCTTGCCACTGTTCCCAGGACCGTCAGCTCAACGATTACAATCGGTGGCGCCAAACTCACCTGGTGGACGCGTCGAAGACCGAGCTCATGCGGCGGTCCGAGCTGAAGAACGGCCTGGTCAAGGATCCCAGCAGCAACCCGCATCTCTTTCACCTTGCCCTCCAGGGCGATTCCCCAGATCTCTGACGATGTGATTCAGCGGGAATAAACACACACAGACACAATCAATCGTCGACTCCCAAGAAAGTATTGGAAAATATGGGGGTTGGGGGGGAAGGCAAAAACCCGGAAAATATGGGAAAAAATGTGGGGGAATCCTTCTTATTTGTGTGTATTCACTTGTGTGTCCCAGGGCCCCTTCAGATGTGATGCGTTCCCTCCGGGCGCTGCTCCTCGACGCTGGCCCCCCCGGGGGCCCGTCCTCGGGCTCCAGGACCACCGCGAGGAGTTGCGGGGCGCAGAGCCGTCCCCGGGCACGGGGGTCGGGTGCTCCTTGGGGCCGCGGGTTGGAGAGGCATCGGAGGACATCTGGGTCCTCTCTGCCAGGAGTACTGCTCACTCATTCTGGGCCCTCAGGCTCGGGCGTCCTCTCGGGGGCCACATCCAGCGCGTCACCATGGCCAACGTATCCCTCACAGGTGACTCGTTCTCCTCAGCTGCACGCGCGGTGATCACCGCTTCTGAATCGGCATCCAGATTGCAGAGAGCACCAAGTCGATTAATTACTTGAAGAGGGTTCGACACGACGGCAATCGAAATCCTTGAATGCACGGTAGCAGTCCATGAGTGCAGCATTCTCGCTCGAGTGGAGGTTCACTCTTCGATGTTCTGCTCCCTCTGAAGGGACTGTGTTTAATTGATTTGTGTTGCGCAGAACCGCCGCATGCTACGACGCGCCACACGAGCCATGCGCATCACGGATCCCCGCCCATCCTCGTTGTTTGTTGCGACGTTTCTCTTGTTTCCCCTGAAGCGAGGATTCCAATGACATCGTCGCGAAGTACCAGAACAAGGCATTTGCTACAACCAGGCCTGCAGAGATCCCAGGCATAAGATGATCTTGAGCGGGTCAGTGCGGCAGGGTGTTCGCAGCCGGCACGGCGAGTAACAAGCCAGTAGGTGTCCCATGCAAAGTTCTCTTCCTCGGCGGACGGCCAGCGGAAGTGTAGAACGGCGACGGTTCCGCTGGAGGAAGACGTCGGAAGGCTGACGGCAGCCAGCGGAAGTGAAAATCCGCCTTCCAAGAAACACACATTGTTGGATTCGGGGCTTGGGGGGAATAGCCAGATTGTCATGAGCTTTTGGTCGTTGGCATTATCCCCGGGGGGGGGGCTCCTTGCGTTCCGCGTGTCCCTGCTTTCCGCTCGTCCCCATCGCCGAGGACCGACAAGGAACCCCCCGCGCGCGCTCCTCGCGCCGGGGAGGGACATACCAGGGTAGGAAGCCCAGCGCCGACACTAGGAAGTGTTCTCGAAGGCCTCCTCGGCCATCTCGGCGGCCTCCTCGCCAGGCTTGGAGTCTTGTTGGAGAGTGCGGCGTCCGCTTTCTTTGGCACTCAGAGGCAAAGGCCGATCCAGTTGTGGGTCATGGATTCGTCCGTTCGGTTGCGTATAAGACAACAAACAACCAACACTTATGTTGTAAGGTACTATGCATGTTGCTTATCGTCGTCACTTTTACAATTGAACAGATGCCCTAGTTCGACTTGGCCCCACAAAGGTACGACCCCGTGGAAGGGGGGGCAAGGGACCCGAGACTACCTTAGGGTTAGGCCATTGGCTGCCCAGATGGCTGAGAGGACCCTCTTGTCGTTTGAAGCCATGCGGCACTGACTCAGCATCCGCCGACCGAAGTTCTAGAATGCCTCCTGAGAGGTAAGCTGCGGGGGCAGGAGCTGCTGTGAGAGCCTCCCGCCATGCCATTCGCGCGTGTTCGCTACCCGTCGTCTTCTTCTCTCCTCCAGTGGTCTTCCCTATCCTGATTTTAATCCTTGTCCTCGGCATCCTCCTGCTGTTAATGTCCATGCATATCGTCCCCTTTCTTTCGAAAGGCTGCTCGAATCTTCACGTGCAGTCATCCCTTATCTGTCTCATGAGTCCTCTCTCTCTGTCTCTCTCTCTCTCTCTCCCTTGGCATCCATACCTCAAAATTATCAGAACCACCTAGACTGATTAAAGATCTAATCCTCATACTTACCACCGTTTTTACCCTTACCATGTTAGGACTCCTTCTCCCCCTCCTCTTCCGCCGGGTCCTCATCCGTAGTCCATCCGTTCTGCACTTGCCGGGCAGTTATGCTCCCTTCCTGTTTGGGGGGTGGTCTTCGTAGCACACTCGGCCTCTGGCCTCGCCTGGACAGTCTAGCTGCAGGCTAGCCTCATGGACAAATGCAGTCTCCCATTGGCACATGTTCCAATGGCATTTCGGTCCTCTCCTCATAGGTATGTCTAGCTCGCTGCTGTTGCGCAGGCAAGCTGAACCGTCGTCGCTAGCTCGAAGTGGTTCATGGGTCCGCGGCAAAATCCCATCGCGTGTCGCCAAATGGTCGCATGGATAAGCCGTATCAATCCGCATCGTCGCATTCACCCCACGGCCAGCAAGCGCGTGCTCATGGTTGCTGCATGTGTCATGAGCATTGCGCAGCCAATGAGTACACAATATGTCCACTGGCGGCGGATCGAAGACGCCTACGGCGAATCACCGCCGCCCCCTGCCCCTTCGGAAGCGCCTTTGTGGCCGACAGCTGTGCCAGAGCTTGGCCAAGCTATCGGGCCAGTTGTTCCCCGAGTCGGTTTGGAAAGACTTCGGGGAACGCATGGGGGAGCAAGAAGAGGAGGAGGGGGAGGATGAGGAACAAAGAGGAGGAGGAGGAGGAGGAGGAGGACAAGGAGGAGGCCTCTTGGGCGCCTCTTGGGGCACTCTTAAGGCCTCCTGGGAGCTTCCCGTGAGCCTCTTGGAGGGTTTGGGGGTGCCTTCGGGGGCTTCTTGGGGGCCGTCTTAGGGCGTTCCTGGCTTGTCTGACGCCGTCGGAAGCCGTCTTGGGGGCCTGTCTGGGTCGTCTCGGGGTCCTCTTGGGGCTTATCAGGGGTTCTTAGAGGCCATCTTGGGAGTGTTGGAGGCCTCTTGGGCCGTTTTGGGACCCTCTTGGGGCCGTCTTGGGAGCCTTTTGGGCCGTCGTGGGGCCATCTTGGAGGCTTCTTGGGCGATCTTGGGGGCATCTTGCCCCGTCTTGAGCCGTCGGAATGCCGAGAAGAAGCAAATGCCAGAATCTGCCAAAAACCTTCGGACAATCAATGATTTTGGCCTCGTCGTGCCCTCCTGGAAGACCTCCTGGACGCCTTTTGGGCCGTCTTGGAGGCCTCTTGGGGGCCTCTTGGGCCGTCTTGGGCCATCTTGAGGCCATCTTAGGCCGTCTTGGGTGCATCTTGGGGCCATGTTCGCTGTCTTGGAGGCCATGCTGGCCGTCTTGGCGGCCCCTTGGGCCCTCTTGGGGCCGTCTTGGGGGCCTCTTGGGCCGTCATGGGGCCATCTTGGAGGCCTCGTGGGCGATATTGGGGGCCTCTTGGGCCGTCTTGAGCCGTCGGAATGCCGAAAAGAAGCAAATGCCAGAATCCTTCAAAAACCTACGGAAAATCAATGAATTTGGCCTCTTTGGGCCCTTCTGGAGAACCTCTTGGAGGCCTCTTCGGCCGTCTTGGAGGCATCTTGGGGGCCTCTGTGGCCGTCTTAGGCCATCTGGAGGCCATCTCAGACCGTCTTGGGTACATCGTGGGCCGTGTTTGAGGCATCGTGGGGCCATCTGAGCCGTCTTGGAGGCCATCTTGGGCGTCTTGGGGGCATCCTGGGCCGTCTTGGGGCCCTCTTGGGGCCGTCTTGGGGGCCTCATGGGCCGTCATGGGGCCATCTTGGAGGCCTCGTGGGCGATCTTGGAGTGATCGTGGGGGCCTCTTGGGCCGTCTTGAGCCGTCGGAAGGCCGAAAAGAAGCAAATGCCAAAATCCTTCAAAAACCTAGAGAACATCAATGATTTTGGCCTCTTCGGCCTCTTCTGGAGGACCTTGGGTCATCTGAGGCCATCTGAGGCCGTCTTGGGTGCATCTTGGGCCGTCTTGGAGGTATCTTGGGGCCATCTTAGCCGTCTTGGAGGCCATCTGGGGCCGTTGAGGAGCCGTCTGGAGCAGGAAAAACCTGTTGCAACAACCTCTGGAAGATCTTTCCAGGTGGTCGGCGGGACGGGCCGAAGCCCCAGGGGGAGTTCTTTTGGAAAGAACCAAAACCAAAACCGAAAGGGTCCAGCACGCCAGGCACCCCTGCGATGAATCGACACGGGGCGGCGGATCGAAGACGCTTACGGCGAATCACCGCCGCCCCCTGCCCCTTCGGAGGCGCCTCTGTGACCGACAGCTTGGCCAGAGCTTGGCCAAGCTATCGGGCCAGTTGTTCCCCGAGTCGGTTTGGAAAGACTTCGGGGAACGCATGGGGGAGCAAGAAGAGGAGGAGGGGGAGGATGAGGAAAAAAGAGGAGGAGAAGGAGGAGGAGGAGGAGGAGGAGGCCTCTTGGGCGCCTCTTGGGGCACTCTTGGGGCCTCCTGGGATCATACTCCAGTTTGAGATGGTGAAAGGGGACTGGGGGACGCCCAAACGTCTCACACGCCTTTTGACCCCTGGCAAGCGGTAGTTGCCAGACTGATAAGAAGCAGTGGTGAGCCCATTTTTGAGGAAGGTTTTAGGAAGGTTGTTGGGAGGATTCTTTTTAAACACTTTCCAAAAACCTTCCTCCAAAAGGTGTCAGGAGGGGTTCCTCCTGAAAACCTTCCTTAAACCTTCCTCCGAACATTTTTCTGGAAGGTTCTTAGGAGGAATCTTCCAAAAACCGTTCAAAAGCAAACCCCTTTCCCCGTTGGGGAAGGAGGAAGACAAAAGATCAAAATCACCTAAACCCGAAGTGTTGGCGGGATTTTCGGAGGTCCGCGCGGACTTTTTGGGTCGGCGCCGGACCCCCCCCCCCTCCCCGCGCATCCCCTTGGCGCGTGGAGCACGCTGGGGCCGGACCTTCGAGAGGTTGTGCTCATGTGGTCGTTTCGTTTTCTAGGAAAGGGGCGACGTGGAGGGAACGAAAAAAGAGGAGAGAGGAGAGAGGAGAGAGAGGAGAGAGGAAAGAGAGGAAAGAGAGGGGAAAAAAAGAGAGGAAAGAGACGAGAAAGGAGAGAGGAGAGAGGAGAGAGGAGAGAGGAGGAGGAGGAGGAGGAGGAGGAGGAGGAGGAGGAGGAGGAGGAGGAGGAGGAGGAGGCGGGAGGAGAGGGCGGGAGAGAGGCGGGAAGAGGCGGGAGAGAGGCGGGAGAGGTGGGTGAAAGGGCCATCTCTTTCCCCAGCTGCTCCCCCAAGGCCCTTACGCCCCCCCACACACACACACACACACACACACACACACACACACACACACACACACACACACACACAACACACACACACACACACACACACACACACACACACTGCTCCTTGCACCTGCCTTCCCTTCTTCCCCCCTCCGCATCCCCTTCCCCCTATCTCCCTCTTCTTCGTGCCCCTCTCCCTCCCCCTCCTCCCCCCCCCCCCCCGCAATCCTTCCACCTCTCCTCTGGATCGACGGCACGCCGAGATGGGAGGGGGCAGGCCTTCTCAGAAGTCGGCGGGGAGGGGGAGGGGGAGAAGAAGGAGGAGGAGGAGGAGAAGAAGGAGAGGTAGGAGAAGTAGGAGAAGTGAGAGGAGGGGGAAGGGGAGGGGGAGGGGGAGGGGGAGGGGGAGGGGGAGGAGGAGGGCCTTCTCAGAAGTCGGCGGGGAGGGGGAGGAGAAGGAGGAGGAGGAGGAGCTGAAAAGCCCTCTGTCTCTCCTGAGAAAGCTCAGGAGGCGTCTCAGGAGGCCAGAGGCCTTCTGAGCCTTCATGGGAGGCCCGCCCCCTCTGCCTCCCTCCCTCCCCCCCCACCCGCCCTCCTTCCCGCCACCCTCCCGACTCTCGCAACCAGCGCGAAGAGGGGCGCCGCAGAGGCGGGAAGGGGGGACGGGAAGAGGGCTAATTCCGATTCCTCCGACCCGATTCGGTATCGATTCCGATTCCGATTCGACCTCGGATTCCGATGTGAACTTCGGTTTTTCGGTGGAGCCTCACTGGCCTGCCGCCTTCCGCCGATTCGACGTCCCCCGACTTGGTTGCCGACTTCCGCCGATCCGAGCATTTCGATCGCCGATCCGACTCGTCGACTCGATTCTGGGCTCTCCTGGGAGGGGCGTGAGCGCGGAATGCTGGGCCACTTCGCCAGCTCGCAGGCGGCAGGCCCGCACGGGAGGTTCGAGCCTCGGCCCTTGGGCCGAGGCTTTCGGGAGGCGACTCGCTCGGGAGGGCTTCGTCGGAACGATCATCGGAGGCCCCGGGGTTGGCAACAGCACCGCTGCCGGTGGTGTGCCTCCGCCGAGGGGAGTCGGGCGGGTGGCAACGGAGGGGGCCCTGAGGGGTGGGCGGAAGCCTCGAAGGCTCCCTGCAGGGCCCCTTTCGGAGTCGGCAGGGGCCCAAAAGTAGGGCCCCTGTCTTCACCCCCAACGCAGGTCACCCCCAATGCCGCCCGCCCGAAGAAGGTGAGATCCCGATCTCGGTGATTCAAGAGGAGAAAAAACACACAGAGACACAATGAATCGTCCACTCCCAGGAAAATATGGGAAAATATGGGAAGTGAAGGGGAAGACAAAACCCAGAAAACATGGGAAAATATGGGGGATATTTTCATTTGTGTGTATTTATTTGTGTGTCCCAGGGCCCCTTCAGTGATGGTGGTAATATTCGCGCTTCCTAGGCGGCGGGAAGACCACCAGCACCAGAATCTAAGATCCTCTTCCCCAGGTGGAGGCAACCCCGTGCGTTGGTGCCGGTGCCCATCTCCAAGCCTCAGGGCATTTTTTCTACGCCCGATTACGGGACCGTTACAGCCAGACGACGACAAGGCTGAAGCTTGCTTGAGGCGGCTATGGCCTGGACTAGGCGGATGCTCGGAGAAGAGAAGAGTGCACTTTTTTGGTCTGCGGGTCGGGAGCGGGCCCCTTCCGGTCAAGAGCTAAACGGGACGCGGGTAGCCCTAATTAGGAAGACAGGGCGCGGGCGGGCGGGGCCTCAGGCGGCCGGAGGGCTCAGAAAACAGGCGGTGCCGAAGATTTTGCACAGGACAAGGTGCGCCATAAGCGAAGAGTGCACAGGCATAGATATTTTCGGAGGCCCGCGCGGATTCCTTGCTTCGGCGTCGGGTCTCCCCCCCTGGCAGCGCCTCCCGCGCCGCCGCCGGCGCGCTCCACGCGCCACGGAGCGGGGGCTCAGCGCCGATCCAAGATTCAGGAGGGAAAAAAACACACAGACACAATTGATCGTCGATTCCCCAGGAAATATGGGGAAATATGGGAAGTGGGGGGGAAGACAAAAACCCTGAAAATATAGGAAAATATGCGGGATATTTTTATTTGTGTGTATTGATTTGTGTGTCCCAGTTCCCCTTCAAAGATACTCGCGCGGACCTCCGAAAGCTTACCCATCGGTCGTTGAAAGTGGGAATCTTTTGGGTTCCCAGAGTCCAATCTACCTTCAGCGCCTTCCTACTTCAAGAGTCGAGTGGTTTTCCCTCTTCCCTCCTCTTCAGGGGGCGGGCGGAAGCCCAATCAATTCCCAACGCCTTCCTACTTCATGTTTCTACCCACTTTTTCCGACCGACGTGTACGCTTATGCTGGCGGCATGGGAAACTCGAGATGCGTCGCCTGCGTGGCGCCGAATTCGTCGCGCGCGCGACCCCGGCGGACGCGGCACCCCGTCGGGCTTTTGTTCCTGAAGACATCGCTTGAAGCACCGCCCCTGGGCCTGCGATCCCGGACTTCGCCACGCCTTCCTCGGATGCGGCGGCGAGAGTTTTGCGCACCTGAGTGCCTGGCCTTCGCTCGGACGTCCATTCCCTGTGTTTTTTTCGGTTTCGTGCGTGGCTTCTTCGCCAAATGATCAAGGATACTCCTCGATGGTCCTCGCCGAAGGAAAAATGCACACGTCCGAGCGATGCCAAGGTGCGTGGCGCGCTTTGCGTCTGCGTGGACGAGCCAGGCGATGTCGCTGTGCTTGCCTCGACGCGGAGGCTCCGTCTCCGCGTCGGCCGCTCAAGCGTTTTCGGGGCGCTTGCCGGCTCCGGGGCGTGAAGGCATCGCGCCTCGTGTCGCTTGGGTTAAGAAGGAGAGAAGAGCTGGAGATGGGTGAGGAATGGACAGGTTGTGGAGGAGGAGGGGGAGAAGGAGGAGGAGGTGGAGGCCTGGCGGTATGAAGTTCCGATCGAGGATGTTTGCGTCCCGGCAGGTGGTATCGAATGTCTCCAAGCACGAGAAAGCGGAGGAAGAGGCCAGATTTCTCAAGAACAATTTGATGAACATTCTCGACTGTTATGACAAGGATTGCCATCGCTGGTCTGCCAGTCGGTATGACTTGACAGGTGAATGATTTTCTCCCGTTCTGTATCTCTCTCTCTCTCTCACTCGCTCTCTCTCTCTCTCTCGATATATATATATATATATATATATATATATATATATATATATACATACATACATACATACATATACATATATATATGTATCGCTTTCTTTCTATCTCTCTATATTCAGCCTCTCTCTTCTCTCTCTCTCTCTCTCGCCCTGTTTCACTCGCTCTCTTGCTCTCTCTCTCTCTCTCTCTATGTCTCTATCTCTTCATTTTTGTGCGCACACACACACATTGAGGCCGCCAGAAAGAGCCTCGCCTCAGAGGGGGACCCTGGGAGGAGGCAGGCAGAAGTAGGGCGAGAACCGTCCTGGTGGGGCCCGCACGAGCCATGCGTCGCAGCCGCCTGGCAGGAGCAGCGCGCATTGTCCGGTGCTGCTGGCGAGACTCTGGGGCGGCGTGCGCTCGGCTGCCTGCACAGCACACGTTGACGCAACGCTACGGTGACCCCTGAGATCCTGGCGCTGCACTGGTTTTAAGTCGGGCCTGTCCCCCTACAGGGGGATTTTCGACGAAAAATAAAAATACCCCTAAAATAGTCAAAAGATACCCCAAAAATAGTCAGGTGACTATTTTTTGAATCTTTTTTCCTTTCTTGGGGTACTTTTGTGGTATTTGTTTTATTCTTCGTCGAGAATCCCCCTGTAGGGGGACACGCCCGACATAACACTTTGTTCCACACCGGGCGCTTTCGCCCGGTGTGGTCGCCTTTCCTGGCCTCGGGCAGTCACATCTCGCCCCCGCTCGCAGAATGCTGCAGAAGGGTGGGGTGTGGGGATCCCGTCGAGAAATGTCGCGATGCTGCAGGTTTTCGCAACGTCGGATCTCAGGATGCGGTGACCCCGAACACCTGAAGGGTGCTCTCGTCCACCCCCCGCAGGATGAAGACCAGTCCATCGGCCCCGAGGAGTTCACCACGTTTTTCAACAACCCCGAGGTGCAGAACCTGCTGGGGCGCTTCGGCACCAAGGTCGCGTCCCCCTCTCTCTCTCTCTCTCTCTCGCTCTCTTTCTCGATATGTATTGAGCGTCTCCCTCGTCGCGGGGCGACGGCCCTGCTCGAGCGGCCATCGGGCGGCACGCACGCACGCGAAGCGTGCCAGGGATCTCGCCACAGCCTCCAACGGCGAGCCCGGCGCCCAGAACACCGCGGGGCGCCGAGTGCCCAGCCCGCCCCCGCGCGGCGAGCAGAGCCCCGAGACCAGAGGCAGCGTCCGGGGGGAGACGGGCCCGGCGTGGGGCGCATCGACACCCAATCGCCCCTGGATCGCCGACAGGGGCCCGATAGCCCACGACCCCGCCCAGAACGTGCGGACTTGCTATCGGGGGCCTGTCGCCGATACGTCGGCGATGTATCGCCAGCTCCAGGCCGACGCTTCCCCACCCCGAAGCTGGCCCCCTCCCTGAGGTTGCCCCCCGGCGAGGGAGTGGCCCGCCGGCCCGTCGATCCCCGCCCTGCGACCCTGGGCCTCGGGCGCAGCGGCTTCTATTCGGTCCAAGCGTGCGTGGGGCCCTGAGGTCTGGGGATCTATCTCACCACGCCGCCTGGTCCGACGCGCGATCGTACGTCTTGGGGGGTAGCGCCTCAGCCACCAGGGCAAGCTCCGCTTCGGGCGCAGGGTCTGCCGCAGGGCTTGGCGCGGCGCCAGCCTCGTCCACTTGCGGCGCGGCACGCGGGATTTGGCGTGGTGTCGGCTTCGTCCGCTTGGGCGCGTCGAGAACAAAGGTTGCGGCGACATATCCCCCTTTGTCATCCCCCGCCTCTTGGCCGCTCCCGATCGATGCACGAAGTTTTTTCACTTCCTCGATCCACCGCCGACGTCACCGAGAAATGGAAAAACAAAACAAACAACATTTTGTTATACATATATATATATATATATATATCGCAGCCCTCTCTTCGGCACCTTGGAGGGCTGTGTTCCGCCGCGCGTGAGAGGGGCTTATCGCCAGAGCGACCTGTGGTGCGGACCCACAAGGGCAGGGATCGTTCCGATTTCTCCGATTCGATTCGATTCGAGTTCGATGGCTTCCGATTCCGATTCGATTTGACTTGGGATTCCAATTCGGGCTCCGATTTCTCCACGGAGGCCTACTAGTTCGCCGATTTCTGCCGACTCGACTTTCTCCCGACTCGGCTGCCGACCTCCGCCGATCCGATTCATGTTCGATTGCCGATACGACTGATCGATCCGATGTTGGGCTCTCCTGCAAGGGTGGCCCCGGCACCGGCCTGCGCCCTCGAACCCGGCACCGCGCGTCGCCCTTGGAGTGTTTGCGGCGCATTCGGGCCCCAGGGGACCGCCAGAAGGAAGCCCAGGACCGGGAAGCACCCGATTTCGGGCGCGTGTTGGAGGTCGGGGGCGGAAAAGAGGGGGGTGATGACTAGGGGGGGGTGAATATCATGGCGGGGGCCATGATTTTTCCCCAGATTTCATGGCGCCTCTTCTTATTTCCTTACGTCCCTGGCCTCCCCGCTGGGCCGCGCACATGCCGCCGGTCATGATTTGCACCCCCCCCTCTTGGACACCCCCCTCTTGGCCGCTCCCGAGGAGGGGGAGGGGGGGGGGGGCGAGGAGGGGGGTCGGGGGAGGGGGGGGCAAGCTAGGTGCGCTCGCGTCATATCTGACATCCTACCCCTCCCTCCCATCCCTTACCATGGCGCAGATCCCCTCTCTACTCGCACAGTCGGATGTCGAGCAGGGCAATGATCCCGAAAGGGTACGCGATGCATTGTAGAGCACGGCATGGCATGGCGTAGAAGAGCACCGCAAAGCGTAGTATCAACCTAGCATTGCATTGCATGCCGTGGCATGGCGCGGGAAATGACGCCAGCGCTGCAGCGGGAGCACGAGTCGAAACGAGCGGAAGCGCGGAAATGAGGCCAGCGCTGCAGCGGGAGCACGATTCGGAACGAGCGGAAGCACGGAAATGAGGCCAGCGCTGCAGCGGGAGCACGATTCGGAACGAGCGGGGCCCGAAAATGAGGCCGGCGCCTCAGCGAGAGCAGCATTTTGAAAAAAAATGCAGGCGAAAACCCAACTCCGGGGAAACCTGTGTGTAAAAAAACAGTACGCGGGGGGGGTCGAGCACTTTCAAACCGTCATCAGGGGAAGAGGGAGAGTAGTATTCATATTGAGTAATGGTGGAGGGGGGGAAGGCGAAATGGGGGGTGAAGGAGCCCTGTGAGGGCCCCTTGGGGAGCCAGCAGGGACCCAAAGAGGGGCCCCTTCAGGGCCGTTCTCTCCACCAGCCATTGAGGGCCCCCCCCCCGCCCCCCGTTCACACCCGCCCACAGAGGAGCCCGCACGCCTGGGGCCCGCGGACAAGGAACAGATCAGTCTGGCGGACGTCGTCCGGGCTCCGCGCCGCTCCCCAGGGGGGTCCGCGTCCCACCCCTCCTCGGCTCTGTGGCTGCCCCATGGGGTCCCACAGGCCTGCGGCTTCCTGCGAGCCGTCACGACGGGAGACGTCGGAGAAGCGCATGAACGTGAATCAAGGCGCGCGGATTAGCGACGGGCCCCGTTTCCATGCGCGATCGGCGCGCTCCGCCACCAAATCGGGCGGCATTGGCGCCGTTTCTCGGGGGTGCCGTCCCAGATCCATGAGCCTGGCGACCGCACACCCGATCCACGTATCCCTAATCCATGACGGCGTGCGCCCGAAGGCAGGTTCACTCTCTCCGTGACCCCTGCCTCCGACCACATCCATCCAGGCACGACCAAGTTTTTTAACCAGCCTGATTGGGCGCACCGAGAGTGCACGGCGACGCGTGGCCAAAATTAAGGGCATGGATATCAAGACATTATTCCACCGTGGTATTGTCAAGTACTTGGGGCAGCGGATCGGACTCCAAGACGCCATGCCCACCGAGAGTCAACACCGACTGAAAGCAGGACGGGGCGCATTTCCAACAGCACACAGACACGATCTCACAGGAAAGCACTACCGACTGAAACACCGATTCCGATGTTTTAGTGGTACTGTCACGCGGCCGATACTTTACAGCGCAGCTACATGGACCCCGATTGTGCCTTTGAGACAACAGCTAAGCTACAATGTACACAGCCCCGGAAGTTACAATTGAGTGTTGGCTCCCCAAGACGGTGCCGAGCTACCAACATGAACGATCCCAACAACACAGAGACCGACACGACAGATCACGGCAACAATCACACGAATAAGGTGTTAGAATTGGAGCCTCGGGTGGAGCAAATCAAACGTACGACACGACAGACAGAGGCGTTCATGCACAAACACAGAATGCACGACTGAACCACGACACAAAGAGAGACGGAGTGGTGATGCTCCAGCAGAGTGGCGAACACACGCCCTTCAAGATCGGACACGGCGCGTCATCAATCGGCACCCGTCCTTGCATGCCAATCTGAGGGGCGCAGGAAAACCAGGTGGGCAGTGCAAGCGATGGGATGACGGTATACGCGAGATTTGTCATGTCACAAAGGTGCATAATCGACCAACCCGCAACAGTTACAACGTAAACAACACCGATTGGCTGGTCCTTGCGGCAAACGTTGCTACGTGGGTGCAAATGGAAAGCAGGTCGCGAACGACCTCGCTGGCAGTGACCCCGAACGCATGCAGCACAGCCCAGAACACCGCGCGCCGACATACATCAACACCCGAGCTTGAGAGCCGTTCCTCCACTTTTCCTCTTGCAGGCTGACTTTCACTTTTAGTTATCTCGCGACTTCGCTGTCACTAATGGTTTGATCCAGAACTCTAGGCCACGGTTTCACACACCTGGCCCGAGGTAGGCCCAGACATCTTTCCGCTGCGGTGGTCTGTCTGTTTGTCCGACCACCCTCTTCTTCTCCCCCTTTCCCGTCCCCACCCTTTCCTCTCTCTCTCTCTCACTCTCTCTGTCTCTCTCTCTCTCTCTCTCTCCCCGAGCGGAGGCGAGTGGAGCGGGAGCGGGAGTGGGAAGGGTTGCGGAGTGCTTCTGTCGAGAGCAACGACATTGGGGCGGGGAAGGAGAAACATGAACATTTCTGAATGCCGCTGGCTGCAGCTCCACTGCCGAGGCCCTTTCCTCGATACACGGGCGCTCCAGGAAAACCGCTCGCGTGCGGCTGAATTGCCGAGTCCCTTCTGCGGACCACCCCTCTCTTCCACCCCGAGCCCCGTGGGGGTCCCTGGCCCTGGTGGAGGGGAGGTTGCGGACCGCCGCAGGTTGCAGTCGAGGCCCCCCGCCTGTGCTTCAGGGCTGGCAGAGACTTCGCCATAGACAGCTTCCTCATCCTCCTCCTCCTCCTCCTCCTCCTCCTCGTCCTCCTCCTCTTACTCCTCGTCCCTTTCCCGGCATCCTCACCATCTTTCCGGTCACCTCCCAGCCCCTCATCATCCTTTGGACGCCCTTGTGCCCCGAGGCCTTCCGAGCGCGATGTCGCAAAACTCGGTCCGCAGAGATCAGCCTGCGCGACTCCGCCTTTGCTTTGAGAGCTCGCTGGAGAGCCTCGCAGGGCCCCACGCAGGCGCCCGCCCGCCCGATGTTCTCGCCGAGCGGGCATTTCTCGGCCTGATGCGAGGCACGTCTCAGCGTCGCCGCACGATCCGTGCACCGTGCACGGCAGGATCGCGCGCCTCCCCGCGGCGGCGACGACACCAGCGCGGGCGCCCAAGGTCGAAGATGCTCTCTCGGGGCCCGTTTCGGGCCCGCGGGCCTTCGAAAACGACAAGGGGCGCGAAGCATGTTCGAACGATGGTGTGGGGAGCTCCTGGCAACCTCCTTAGTACGGGAGATCACTCAAGCTTCAACGCCTTACGCGGTGCCCTAAGCCAGAGCCGAGGCCGACTCGACCAGAGCTTGCCTCGGAGACCCCGCCAGGTGGGTGGCATCCTGTCGCTGAAGCCGGTCTTGTTCGAGCAGACCGACAAGCTGACTTTCCCAGAGCTGCTGGACACCATAATGCGGCTGCGCGGCGAGAACAAGGCGGAGGCCCGAGCTTGGGGGGGTCAGGGAGGGCGGCCCGCTTTGTAGCCCAGCGGCTGCGCTGACAAAAGGACCTGTATGGCACACGCAGCGGAAGCCGACCTTTTCTCATTTCCTCCTCCCGATTTTACCTCTGCATTCGGCGCGTCTCATTGTGAAGCGTTTGCGGCGTTGCAAGGCTGCGTGCTCATCTTTCCTCTCCCTCCTCTTTCTCCTGCTCCTGTTCCTTCTCCTGCCCCTCTTCCTCCCCCTCCTCCTCCGCCTCCTCCTCCTCCTCCTCCGCCTCGTCCGCCTGCTCCTCCTCCTCCTCCTCCTCCTCCTCGTCCTCGTCCTCGTCCTCGTCCTCCTCCTCCGCCTCCTATGTGACCGTTATTGCCTGTCAGAGCGCTTCGGCCGCTGCACGGCGTTGCAGCAGGGACACGCACTCTGTGAGTGATCATTGCGCGTGCTCCAAGAGCACGCTGGCGAGCGTGCTCGGGAAACGTTCCGCCGGAGCACGCTGGCATCATACCATTCTACGCACACGAACTCGAACAGCCAGCATGGTCATGATCCGTGCTGGCGCCGTGCTCGGCTCAAGTCTTTTTGAGAGCGGCGGCCCGCATGCTCCAAGGGGCAAACCGGGTTTGCCGCGGCCAGCGAGATTGCGATCGCCTGGGCGCGGCGACTCAGCGGGCTTGTCATCGAGAGTGGCGACCTGGCGGCTGCCGCCGAGCAGCTGGGCGAGGCCCGCTCGCTGCTTCGCCTGGCGGTCCTCGTGGGCGCGCTGGCGGGTTGCTGCTGCTGCTGCTGCTGCTGCTGCTGCTGCTGCTGCTGCTGCTGCTGCTGCTGCTGCTGCTGCTCGGCGTGCGCGCTTGCCGGGGACGTCCAGCACCATGGCGGCGTTTCTGCTTCGCGCGGGGATGCGGGCAGTCGTGCAGAAACGCCCAGACGAGGATTTCCAGACTAGGCTGCTCCTTCGCGAGTCCGACGCCGAGGAGCACGAGACCGAGCTTGGATCGACAGTGACGACTCCTGCGAACCAGATATGGATGGCTGCTACCTTCGACTTCGACGTTTACCCTCACGAGTAGGAGGTCTCGCCACTCCACGCGCTGGTCCCGTGCGATCCGGCGGACCAGCCGCTGCGGCGCGAGCAGCTGGGCGGAGACAGTCTGCGGCGGGCCTGGCTTCACCACAGTTCCCAGTGGCTTCGGTCGCCCCACGAGTTCATGAAATTCCGAAAGGCTTGCGGCGAGAGGCCGAAGACGGAGACACAGGGAGACGCGGGGCCGATGCCCTTGGCGAGCCCACTGGGCCCGACGGATGGGACAGCGACTCCTTTTGACGGATTGGCGCAGGGCTCAGGGAAGCTCACCGCCGGGCCCGGGCATCGGTGGCTCATCACGGAGAGTGGCGACGGCAGCGACGTGAACGTGCTGGCCGACTTCGATGGCTGCGAGTGGCACGCGGCGAGCGACACGCCGGCGCCCGCGAAGGTGGGAGCCACGTTCTTCGGGGGCCCCCAAACGGGGCGGTGACCACACCGTGCGGTGAGTCGGTGGGGATTCGGGGCCACCGCAAGGTTTTGGGACTCGGGTCGTTTTCCGAGGACGCCTCGGGCGATAGGGGCTTCCGGGGTCCCAAGACCGTGCGGTGACGGACCGCGCGGTGAGGTCTTGGGGGATTTCAAGGTCACCGCACGGTCTGTCACCGCACCGCTTCGGGACTCCAAGTTCTACCTGGCGAAGGCGGTGACTGACAAGCAGGCCGAGGGCTCGATGGACGCGCGCGCGATGCCGATCCCGCATGGGCTTGACGGCGAGGGGAGGCGCATCTTCAAGGATGGGGTGCGAGGCATGACGGAAACGGCGTGGTCAGCGTGGCTGGTGAGAGGACCCCCGACCGCGCTCTGACGCGTCCGCTTCCTCGCGGAGCAGGGCCCCCATCCGCGCGCCCGCCACATTAAGTGGCGCGAAGAGTGTGCCCTGAGCCTAGGCGACACCCGGGGTCTCAGACCACGAGCTGACCATGTGCGCGCTGGAGCTGGGGGCGAACCTCGACCTTTTGGACTCGGCAGAGACGTCGCCGGCTGAGCCCCTAGCGCGTCGCGCGCAGCTGGCGGAGCGGCAGCGTCGCGAGCGGCTGCTAAGGAGCAGCGGCGACGAGCTCCTGGAGGACGAGCGCCTGCACATGAGAATATCGCAGACGAGGGGGCCCCTCATCGCGCCCCGACGCTGGTCGAGCGCATCGCGGGCGAAGCTGCAGAAGGGACGACACTTACGAAGGAGAGGGGGAAGCCCCGCGATGAGCGGATGCTGCCTCGCGGCCATGGACCCGGCGGCTGCAGCAGCAGCAGCGATAGCAATAACAACAAAATTATTCACTGCGTGGGGATCCCCATATGTGCATCTCCTTGCTGGCGCTCCCTTGGTGGTGGGACTCGGTGAGGACGAATCTGGATTTAAGTGTGACCGAGCTGCCTCTCTCTCTTCTCTCTCTGCTCTCTCTGTCTCTCTCTCTCTCTCTCTGCCCTCTCTCTGTCTCTGCCTCTCTTTCCCTGCCTCTCTCTCTCTCTCTCTCTCTCCCTCTCTCTCTCTCTCTCTGCCTCTCTCTCTGCCTCTGTCTCTCTGCCTCTCTCTCTCTCTGCCTCTCTCTCTGTGCCTCTCTCTCTCTGCCTCTATCTCTGCCTCTCTCTCTCTCTCTCTCTCTCTCTCTCTCTCTCTCTCTCTCTATTCTCTCTCTGCTCTCTCCTCTCTCTCTCACTCTCCCTCTCTCTCTCTCTCGCTCTCTCTCTTCTCTTCTCTTCTCTTCTCTCTCTCTCTCTATCTCTCTCTCTTCTCTCTCTCTATCTCTCTCTCTCTCTCTCTCTCTCTCTCTCTTCTCTCTCTCTCTCTCGCTCTCTCGCTCTCTCTTGCTCTCTCTCGCTCTCTTTCGCTCTCTCTCCCTCTCTCTCTCTCTCTCTCTCTCTCTCCCTCTCTCGCTCTCACTCGCTCTCTCTCGCTCTCTCTCGCTCTCCCTCGCTCTCTCCCGCTCTCTCTCTCTCTCTCTCTCTCTCTCTCTGCTCTCTCTCTCTCTCTCTCTCGTCACGGGCTCGTGAGATCAGCCAGGGTGGCTCCCCCTTGGGGCTCCCAAATGATGCCCCTGGCAGCGTTTTGTGACCATGAGGCTCTCAAGAGATACATGTTGGGGAGGCCAAACGGCAATTCTAGCTGAGGCGTCCCACCAAAATCGGCGCGAACGGGCTCGTGAGATCAGCCAGGGTGGCTCCCCCTTGGGGCTCCCAAATGATGCCCCTGGCAGCGTTTTGTGACCATGAGGCTCTCAAGAGATACATGTTGGGGGCGCCAAACGGCAATTCTAGCTGAGACGTCCCACCAAAATCGGCGCGAACGGGCTCGTGAGATCAGCCAGGGTGGCTCCCCCTTGGGGCTCCCAAATGATGCCCCTGGCAGCGTTTTGTGACCATGAGGCTCTCAAGAGATACATGTTGGGGAGGCCAAACGGCAATTCTAGCTGAGACGTCCCACCAAAATCGGCGCGAACGGGCTCGTGAGATCAGCCAGGGTGGCTCCCCCTTGGGGCTCCCAAATGATGCCCCTGGCAGCGTTTTGCGACCATGAGGCTCTCAAGAGATACATGTTGGGGGCGCCAAACGGCAATTCTAGCTGAGACGTCCCACCAAAATCGGCGCGAACGGGCTCGTGAGATCAGCCAGGGTGGCTCCCCCTTGGGGCTCCCAAATGATGCCCCTGGCAGCGTTTTGTGACCATGAGGCTCTCAAGAGATACATGTTCGGGGCGCCAAACGGCAATTCTAGCTGAGACGTCCCACCAAAATCGGCGCGAACGGGCTCGTGAGATCAGCCAGGGTGGCTCCCCCTTGGGGCTCCCAAATGATGCCCCTGGCAGCGTTTTGTGACCATGAGGCTCTCAAGAGATACATGTTGGGGGCGCCAAACGGCAATTCTAGCTGAGACGTCCCACCAAAATCGGCGCGAACGGGCTCGTGAGATCAGCCAGGGTGGCTCCCCCTTGGGGCTCCCAAATGATGCCCCTGGCAGCGTTTTGTGACCATGAGGCTCTCAAGAGATACATGTTGGGGGCGCCAAACGGCAATTCTAGCTGAGACGTCCCACCAAAATCGGCGCGAACGGGCTCGTGAGATCAGCCAGGGTGGCTCCCCCTTGGGGCTCCCAAATGATGCCCCTGGCAGCGTTTTGTGACCATGAGGCTCTCAAGAGATACATGTTGGGGGCGCCAAACGGCAATTCTAGCTGAGACGTCCCACCAAAATCGGCGCGAACGGGCTCGTGAGATCAGCCAGGGTGGCTCCCCCTTGGGGCTCCCAAATGATGCCCCTGGCAGCGTTTTGTGATCATGAGAGAGTGTGAGTGTGAGCTTAACTTATCTTATCTTATCTTGAAATCTCTTATTATCATATCTTGTGATATCTTATCTTATCTTGTAGTATCTTATCTTGTCTTGTCTTATCTGGTGATTATCACTGGGAGGAGGGAGGCGCGAGCGGGAGCAAGAAGGAGGAGGAGGAGGAGTGGGAGGCGTCAGAGTAATAACAAGAACCCCAATCCTTAGGATATGGGGAAACAAACATAAGTTTAATTTGTTGTCTCGCATCTTCTCGCGCGTCCTACAACGCGTATATCCCGAACTTCTCGACGCCCGCCTGCCTCGTCATCGACCGCGCCCCCATCGGGGGTATATCTTTTTCACTTGCAACGCTTATTTCGCGCGGCCCCCGAGGCAGGGGGTGGAGGGGGGGGGGGAGGGGCGCAAGGGGGGGGGGGGGGGGGAACGCGAGAGAGACTAGGAGGAGGGGGGCTAGAAGCAGAAAACACGCGGCAAAACCAGACGGGCAGATCGGGCGGGCGGACCCTACCAGGCGGGTCGGGAAGGAGGGCCCCGGCGGCCAGGTCGAGCAGGCGGGCTGCTAAAGCGTGCGTCTGCACCAATCGCGAGGAAATCCACAGCGAGAGCGCGACCCTCGAAAGTCGATGGCGCGGCGCCTGACTAAATTGCGAGGAAGTCCCACGCGGGAGCGCGATTCCTGGAGGCTGAGGAAAAAACAAACAAACAAACAAACAAACAAACAAAAAGCGCCGCGCGAGAGCGCCACTTGGGAATCAATGGCGAGGGGGCGTCAGGCGGGAGCCGTTGCCGCTAAAGTTCAGGGGCCAACGACGCAGTTTGAGGAGGAAGGCTTCACGCGCTATCAGAGGTGATCAAGAGTAATTATTCGTTTGAAACAAACACGCATCAACAAGGCGCCGCGGGACAAGGCGGCAGCGCAGGCCGCGGAGATCAGCAAGCCCCAGGCGAAGTTGACGAGCCCCCCAGGCGGCAGGACAGCCCGGGGCGGCTGGGGGCGGGGGCGGGGGCAGCTGAGCCAGCGGCGGTCGCCCGAGAGCCGCTGCCCTGCCCGGCGCCCACCACCGACAGCGCCCCAGCCAGCGCCGCTTCTAGGGCGGTGCGTTCGCGAGCGCGGCGGCGGCGGCGCGTCGCGCAGTGGCTCGCGGAGATTCTGCGCGCCGTGAATTCATTGCACGGCCACGGACTTCCCCCCCCCAGGATCTCCAGGCGTCGCGCGCCCAGCTCGCGGGCGTCGACCACGTCCGCGAGATCAACCAGGAGGCGGGCCCTGCACCGTGATCAGGAGCGGCAGCCCATGCCAAGCTGCACCCACATCTGCCCGGATATTCCGGAGACACCGCGCGCCGAGCCCCCCGCTCTGAGGGGCTGGCCCCCCTGCCCGCTGCAGGCGGGCACTGCGTCGGCGCTGATCGCCTGACTGGTCGTGCCCAGATGGGCCGGGTGGCGGAGGCATCATCTTCGCGACGAAGTGCCCTCTGACCGTCCTCGACTTCGCCTTATTCCGGGTCCTCATCCAGCACAGCGCAAGAAGACGTACTCTCGATGTGTGGGGCAGCTGCTCGACCGAAGCCTGATCGACTTGGGCGAGCGCGCCGAGGCCCGTGGCCACTGCGGGCACACTCTGCGTCTTGAAGAGCGACAAGCGGCCGTTCTGCACCATCGCCGACACTCGCGCGGCGAACAGGAGCTTCCTGCCCCCAGCGAAATCAGAGCTGCCGACCGCTGGCGCGTGGAGCACCCTGGCCGCGCTGGAGGGCGCGCCCTTGTCCTGGCCCAGATGGGCGTGGACCGCGCGTTCTATGGCGCTGCCACGCCGCCGAGGCTGCGCAATGATTTCGCGCTGCCACTGGTGGACGTCGATACCCACCTGGCCGAGAGGCCCGACTTGGCCTCGCGGCCGCCCGCGGGGCGGAAGGCGACGCCGCGGCCTGGAGCTGGAGCCCCTCCTGCCACCAGCAGATGGCAGAGAAACACGTGCTCCGCAGTGGACTTGCGCTGGAGCAACTAACACATGACCGGCGCCCCGCGCCGCCCCTGCAGCAGGGGCCCGCCACCGCCGCGCACGAGGACGGGGCCGCCGTCATCGGTCTCAACTACGCCGAGACCGCGGAGACGGCCAAGCGGGCGCGGGGCCCCCTGGACGCGGCGGGGCCCCCAGTGCGGGGGGCCGAGGGCCGACGCTCGGAGGCGACGTTCACCGGCATTGTTTTTGGCGAGGCGAGGGGCCGCGTCGGGCTCAGACGCTGGCGGAGCGAATGCGCTTGAGCTTGCCGCACGTCGTCGACCGCGGGTCGGCCACGGGCGACGAGATGCGGGCGCTCCACAGCCGCTTCGCGCGGAGCGCGCTGGTCCAGAGGGAGCTCCTGTCGATCTTCTCCGCGACCTACCGCTTCGCGATGCGGGCCAGCGGGCGGCGGCGCCGCTTGAAGAGCGCCGCGGAGATGGAGCTTCGCGTCGCGGCCGCGCTCGTCGCACCCCCGACCCGGTGGCAAGCCGCGCCTGAGGCCCCGACGACGTCGCACGGGCCTGCGCACAAGCCGAGCGGTGGCGGCTCCTCGCGTCCGAAGCAGTCTCGGCGCGGGCGCGCTCTCAAGCTTTCGGAGCGCCCGCGCGCCCTCTCGCCATCCTGCGCCGAGAAAAGTGCCAGCAACAGTGGCCAGAGCGAGCTCGAGCAAGTCGCGATCGCCACCCTGGCTCGACTGAGGACTTCGCCGCGCGGCCCAGTGTTCGACCAGGCTTTCGGGAACATGCACACATCCGGGGGCCGTCTCGCTCGAGCAAATCACTTCGGCCACGCCGGCAGCTTCGACCTTTGGCAGCTCCAGGTTAGGGGCAGGCTCAGCAGGGCAGAGAACATGATTTGTCTGGCGGGGCGCGGGGTCGCGATCAGCGTTCGACATCAACTCCCTGCCATGTCTCGGCACGTCCACGACCGTCCGGTGGATCCCCGATCGGGGCCCAACCCAGCCGACAGCCCGTCTCGCATGCCTGGAACGTTGGCTCAAGACCGGGCATGTCCCCGAAGCGCTGGATTCGACCCCGCGGCGCCGTCACGCTGCGACGCCGAGGTCGCCCTCCACGCGGCGGTCGACAAGGCGCTGCTGATTGGCGAGCTTGACTGAAAGGGGCGGCCGCAGGCCGGCGCGGCGGGGCCGGGCAACACCCTCCCGGACCACTCACTGCCAGGCGGCGCCAAGCAGCTGCGCGCTGAAGAGGCGGCCTGCAGCGACTCCGACGGCGGCCACGCCGTCACTGGGGGCTCCGCGGCACGGGGTGGCTGCTCTGCTTCCGAGGCCAGCAGCAGTTCGAGTTCCGACGCTGGCGCCGACGGCGGCGAGGCCCCCGAGGCTGTCAGCGCCTGCAGCGGCGAGCCGGCGGCTGGGCCGCGCTCCGACCCCGACGCCGGGCGAGCGGATGTTGGGCCCCCAGGACTGGATGGCCGAGAGAATCGGGCGCCGCGCAGCCCGCCGCCGCGCGACGGCAGCCACCGCGGCCCCGTTCAGGCTGGCGGGCGGCCCCCGAAGACTGGGGCACCTTGAGAGCAGGCGAGCGACGGAGAAATGCCGCGACACGCTGTGCCGCGAGGTCGGGGCGTTCCGAGCACGGCAAGCTCCCAGGACGCGCTCGACGAGGCGCTCGCGAAGTACCTGGATTCCCTCTACTTCGACAGCTACAACCACGAGAGGGGCGACAAGCTCTTGTCTGGGCTGGCATCCGAGGAGCCGAAGCACGGCGCGGCGGGGAGGAGGACCTCGCTTGGGCCCGTGCTGCCCTCCAAAGCATCCGCCGTTGGTGGCGGGGGCCCTGGCGCTGGGCCTGGACTTCGGCCCCCACCTGGCGATCGCTCGGGATGGCGGGCTGCGGCTGCCGAGCGACAGCACATGAGCCTGCAGGGGCGGACACTCACCCCAACCCCCTCCACTCCAGCGCCAGCAGCTGGGGCTCGCCCCTGCATCCAGCCGGGGCAGAAGCTAGGAGCAGGTCCAGCCACAGCGACGAGGGGCCGCTGCTGGACGGCGCGTGCACAGCAGGGCACGAGGTGCAGCTGTGGCGGCTGAAGGGTGCAGGGGGCGAGACCGGCTGCGCGCGGCCCTTCACCGCCGCGTTGTTCAGGGCGGGCTTCAAGAGGGCGGCCGCCATGATCGGCCAGCCATCTCTGCACCCTTACCAGGCGCGGCACGGCGCGGCCATCGACGACGCGCTGCACCGGCGGTGAACCTTGACTCAGACCCAAGAGGTGTTTCGACATTAGCATGCAAAAAGCACGCTGCGACGCAAGAAGCACGCGCGGCACCTGGCCGAGCCTGGCAAGGCGCCGCCGCGCGCAAGGGCGCACGGGGAGGCCGTGGAGGCGCCGATCGCGGCGATCTCGAGCGGGCGCCTGGCGCTGATGCCGCCCGACCAGACCGAAACGAAGCGGGCCGCTCACGACGGTTGGGCGACACGCTCGCGCGGAGCAAGCAGCTGTCGTCGGCCGCTGCGCGGGCCGGCCTGGGTGCTGCCATGGAGCATGAGTTGGGCGGTACCGCCTCCTGCTGTCTAGATATGCTCTCAGGCGCGGGTGGCGTCGCCCGCTCGCTCAGGGGGCTGCGTCGTGCCAGTTTGGAAAGGACTCTTCGGCACTCATATTGATGCGATCTCGCCTCGAAGGCGGTCGGACAGACCATCGTGGATTGGATCGCCAGCCGTCTCGTCTTGGGCGTCTTTGCTGCGCTCCCGTGCTCGACTTGGGCTCAGACCGCTCACACGATTAAAGAAGCCTGAGTAGCAGACATGGGTATCCACATATCGAGGGGAAGGCGCTGGAGCGCTTGCTGGCACGCAACGCAACCTTCGCGGTGACTCAAATGATATTTCGCGTCTGCGTTCATCACATTGCACCGATCATGTGCGAGAACCCAATAAATAGTTATGCTTGGCAAGAGCCACTCATGCAGCACTTCTCTCAGCACCGCCGCAGCCACGACGCCGTCTTTGACATGTGCCAATGTGGAACCGCGTGGAGAAAGCCCACGCGACTTCGCTCGAGGAACTGCGTGCTTCCGCCAACTGCCCTGTGCATGCGCTGCTGCAGCGCGTGTGAAGTTTGTGCCCGGACAGGGCGACCTCACCTCACCGTCACCTTTCCCTTCAAGATCCAGGGCCCAATGGCGCGCGGTAGAGCTGCATCGCTGATACATACCCAGGCAGGTTGCGTAATCAGATTGCGCAGCGGTTGTAGCAAAATGTCGAAGGTATACGAGCCGATCGAATTCGTAAGCTAGCTGACTGTTAAAGCATGCGGTCGTCCAGGGCATAGACAGGGCAAGGGCGGAACCGGGCTCCGCGATCGGTTGCAAACTGGAAGCCGTTCACTTGTGCAACCTCTAGCTCGGTCATGAAAAAGGGACCAGCATGTGCAATAGCTCTGTGGGCGCTATTGCCAGTCGGAACGTCTCGGCTTCTGCACGGACTAAAAACAAGGGCATGCATTCTGTGAGTGACCATTGAGCGTACTCCAGACACGCTCCGCCGGAGCACGTCGGCGAGCGTGCTGCGGAAGCGCTTCGCCGAACCACGTTGGCATCAGACCACTCTACGTTTATTAACTCGACTAGCAGGCGTGGTCATGATCCATGCCGACGCCGTGCTCGGCTCAAGTTGTTGTCCACCCTTTTCCCCTCCTGCCTCCCTGTCTTTTGTCCTAGTCAAATTGCATTCATGTTTCAAACAGAACTGTCCGAGGGTGGAGCCGGGCTCCACGATCGCTGACAAGTTGGAAGCCGCTCACCTGTGCAGCCCTTTTAGCGTGGCCATGGACACAAGGACCGGCACCCCTCCTACTCCTCAACATCCCCTTCCTACCCTTCATCCTATTTCGCTGCCGTGTTCTGGATCGTCGTGCGATAGATCGCTGGCTCCCTGTACCGTGGAGCATCGGAGGTTGATGGCGAGGCGGAAGTGGGGTGGAGGGCCCGACCCAGGGAAGTCGGATCCCGTTTTACCGTTTCGTGCTGCACTCCGCGGGCGAGGCGGAGCTGCACGAGATCCCCCCGTAGCGAGGTACGTATTTAGCCAATTTGCTGCCCCCAGGCAGCAGTGCTTGATTGACGCACAGTTCGCGAGCCTCTGGAAATATGACGCACCTTTCAACCCAGGTCCGAGCATTGATCACCGCTGCAATCGTTGTAACACCAAGGGGATGCATTGAACGTGCAGATGATATGCAAGTCTATCAGGAAGGCTTGGATTCATGGCGAAGCAAATGAACGCAAAGCACATCGCCACCAAAGGGGGTGCGCAGGGGGTGCGGCTTCCACCCGCGCCAGACTCCCAGGGCGCGGTAGGCGTGGCATTTCTTGGCTGCTCGAGGGGGTGCGCAGGAGGTCCGATCTCGATCCGCGTCAGGCTCCCATGGCGTGGCACACGTGGCATGTCCTCTGCACCAGAGGTGGTGCGCAGTACCAGGCTCGCACAGGGCGTGGCAGGAGTGGCATGTACTCGGCACCAGAGAGGGTGTGTTGGGGGTGCGGTCTCTATCCGCGTCAGGCTCGCAGGGCTTGGCAGGCGTGGCACCTCCTCGACACCACAGACGGGGTGCGCGGGCGGGGGGGGGGGGGCACCCGTGCCAGACTCCCAGGGCACGGCAGGCGTGGCATCTCTTCGCCGCCAGAGGGGGTGCGCAGGGGTGCGATCTCCATCCGTGTCAGGCCCCCAGTGCGTGGTAGGCGAGGCACTTCCTTGGCACCAGAGGGGGTGCACAGTGCCAGGCTCACACAGGGCGTGGCAGGATTGGCATTTCCTTTGCCACAAGACCGCGTGCGCGGGGAGTGCGGTCTCTATCCGCGTCAGGCTCGCAGGGCTTGGCAGGCGTGGCACAGACGGGGTGCGCAGAGGGTGTGGCCTCAACCGGCGCCAGGCTCCCAGAGCGCTGCAGGCGGGGGGGCCTTCTGGGCGGTCTTGGGGGCCTCGTGGACCGTTTGGGATCGTCAGAACTTTGAAAGGGCAACAAAGCTAGAATCACGAGACAGTAAAACCAAGGATAATCGATAAGTGTTGCTGTGTGGGCCCCCATGCCTCTGGCAGAGTCTTTTGGAACCCTCTTGTGGCGTCTTGGAGGCCTCTTGGGCCATCTTGGAGACCATCTTGAAGCGTTTGCGAGCGCTCTTGGACTGTATGGGGAAACTCCTGGGGCCCTTTTGGGCCATCTGGGTGCCCCCTGGACTTGGCAAGAGTCACGCGAGAAGCCTCGAGAGGTTTGCGACAACACGTGGCGAACTCCCAGAAGTTCGTGAGTTTGGAGTCCAGGCTTGATCAGGTTCAATGAATTATCCACGGCTGCGGACTGAGGGTTCTCAGGACCTAAGGACATTCCAATTCGTGCCTCAATACACGGCGGCGGGTAGTGGGAAAACCGTGTATATTGCCAACCCGACGCAGGAAATAATCGTCAACCGAAAGCTGCATCTGCCCCCCCACCCACCCAACCACCTTACCCAATAAATGCATAAGTATACACACTGTGCGTCCCGCCTTGTCTTCTAAGCAATTGCATATTGCACGAGCTCGCATTTGCCAGAGTGTCGGCTGGTCGTCGGTTTCACGCGGGTGCGCCATCAGTCGCTTGAGCTGTTTTCTTTCCACCATCGCCGAGAAAACACGCGTCTTCCTCATCCCCCGCCTCCTTCTCACTGGCCCGGGAAGCCTGGCGGGCCACGCATTCTAAGCCGGCGCTATTATTTCCGAAGACGCCCAGGTGACCGACATCATGGAGCTCCGCGAGTTCATACGCCAGTGCAATGCGGAGACCAAGCAGTACCTGCGGAAGTACCTCGGCGGCGAGGCGCCCATGGAGACGACAGGAGCGCGCCTTTCGATCCGCTGCGCAGGCACGGACACACGGAGGCTCGCCACGGGGTCGGCGTCGGACTCCCCCCCCACACCCCCGCCCCGGAGTGCGGAGCGGCGCCGGAGGCGCCGCCAGAGGAGTGTGGCGACTGCGCTCAGGAGTGGCCTTTCGCCAGAGCGCCCTTCGGCGCGGGCCGACCGGGGCACTCCGAGTGCGGAATGCCGTGGGACAGCAGCGGCCTGCGCGCTGGCGCCTGGCCCCCCCCCCCCCCAGCCCACCCGAAGCCACGCGCACGAAAGGTGGCGCTGCCCAGGCTCACGCCTGCGGGTAGGCGGGTGAGGGGAGGCAGGTCCAGCGCCGAAAGAGGAGATCCGCGCGGATGCATTCCCCCCCTCTCTCCTTTCCGCACACCCCAAGATGGCTGCAGGATGGCTCCACGGGGGCCCAGCATGGCGCAAGAGTGTCACAAGGGAGCCACGGATGGCCAAAGTTCGCCCCAGGACGCCCCCAAGGCGTCCCAGAACGGCCCAAGAAGCCCCCAGCTGGTGCCCAAGATGGTCCGAATACGGGCTTCGCTGGACAAGCGGCCCCAAGAACACCCCAGACTGCCACAGGGCCGTCAACAAAACAACTTCTCTGCCATCCCCCACCCTTCCCCATCACACTCACGTGTAACAGCCGACCTCTTTCCCACCGAACCCACACTCTTCCTGCGCCCTTCCCTCCGCTCCACCACGAGATGCGTCGGCGGTGCCAGCCCGACGGCGCCCCCGACACCAGAGCGGACCACGGCGGAAGCCGACGGCCTCGTGCCGCCGATTTTGGTTTGGGTGAGGCCCGCTTTAGTTTCGAAAGGGGCGCGATGCTCCTTGCGTCCTTCCGCAGGTCCCCCCGCCCTGGCCCTCGCCCGCTTGGGCGCAAGACCGAGGCCCAAGAGTGGGCTTCGTCATGTCTACGGGAGTGGGACTTGGAGGACCAGGAGGACTGGGAGGAGGAGGGCATGCCTCCCCCCTCCGCTCTCGTCCTCATCCTCCCTCGTGCTCCTCCTCCTCGCCCGCCCGGCCGCCGCCGCGGCGTGCCAAGGCGCCGTCCCGCGGCCTCTGAGATCGAGGGCATCCCCCTTCTCTGCCGTCGTCTCCTCCCATCTCCCCTGGTCGCGCGGGGGCGCGCATCATGGCAATCGTCGGCGACTGCACAGGGTGTGGTTACGCGGGGGTGTGGTCTGCGCTCTGCGTCGCTGGGGCTCGTGGGGTGCCGTGTCGCCCTCGCTCCTCGGGGCGCGGCGGAGAGCAAAGCTGAGGCCCCCCCGCCCGCCACCCATGGAGCGGGATGCAGACCACGCCCTTCCGAGTCGCCGAATCATTGCAGTCGGTGCGGCACGGTGTGCTCGGGCGGCTCCTGCTCCTCGCTGCTCGCCTCCGTCCCGGGGACTCTGGAGGGGGCGGAGCGGCAGGGGCGGCCCTGCGGGCGTCGAGCCGGGCGGCCAAGACGGCGGGATGAGGGCCGCGTTGGGTTCAGGTGGAGCTCCAGGTTTCGGGCCGCTCCGTAGATCTGGGCCTCCCAGCGGGGGTCCGAGCAGATGGGGTCAGAGGGTCGCGCCGCAGTCGCCGATGCGTCGACGAGACGGCGACCACGTCTGCTCGGACCCCATGTGGGAGTCCCCCCGTGGGGCTCGGGTGGGCTCCAGGCTTCGGGCCCGCGCCTTCGACCTGGGAAGGGGAGGCCTGTCGTGGCCGGGGCGCTCCGTGGCCAGAAGGTCCCCACGCTTGCCTCAGTCCGCGCTCCCTGTGGCGGCACGACGGTTGCCGAACCGCACGTCCACCACCAGGGAGCGCTCGATGTCGGCTGTGCTGGCACGCGAGAGATCCGCGCCATTGGCAGCCCCCGAGGGGGCCGCGAGGTTTCTGATGCGTACACGCTGCCTTCACATCCGCCGCGCCTCCCAGGAGCCAGCGAAAGAGGCGACGGCTGCCCTCTTCGCAGCCTCCCAGGGAAGAGTGGCGACAGCTGCGCAGCTGGCAGCCACCCAAGGCAGCGAGGTCCCCAATGGACGCGCGTGGCCCCCGACGCCGCTGGACCTCACAGGAGCCCACGAAAGTGCCGACCGTTGCGCAGTGCGCAGCCACCCAAGGAGCAGCGAGGCACCAAATGGATGCGCGTGGCCACCAGCTCCGCTGGACCTCCAAGGGGCCCACAACAGTGATGGTTGCGCAATTTGCAGCCACCCAGGGATCGGCGAGGTCTCAATGGGTCCGCATGTTGTTCCACTCCGCTGGACCTCTCAGGAGCCAACGAAAGTGGCGACGGTTGCGCAGTTCGCAGCCACACAAGCAGCTGCGAGGTCCCAAATGGATGCGCGTGGCCCCCGACTCTGCTGGACCTCCCAGAAGCCCACGAAAGTGGCGACGGCTGCGCAGATCAATCACAGCCACTCAGGTAGCAGCGAGGTTTCAAATGGGTGCGCGTACAACTCCACCCCGCTGGACCTCCCAGGGGGCAGCGAGGTCTCAAATGGCTGCTCGTGGCTCCCGACCCGCTGGACCTCCCAGGAGCCCACTAAAGTGGCGATAGTTGCCCTGTTCGCAGCCACCGAGGTAGCAGCGAGGTCTCACATGAGTGCGTGTGGCCCACGACGCCGCTGGCGCCGCAGGACCTGTACCCACGAAGGTGGCGACAGCTGCGCAGTTCTCAGCCACCCAGGGAGCAACGAGGTCCCAAAAGGCTGCGCGCGGCCTCCGACCCCGCCATGCCTCCCAGGAGCCCACGAAGGTGGCGACCGCTGCGCAGTTCGCAGTGGCCCGACGCCGCAGGACCTCCCGTTTCCATGAACCCACGAAAACGGCGACGTCTGCGCAGTTTTCACAGCCACCCCGGGAGCCGCGAGGTCTCAAATGAATGCGCGTGCCCACAACGCCGCCGTGCCTCCCAGGAGCCCACGCAAGTGGCGGCAGTTGCGCCCCTCGCAGCCTCCCAGGGAGCAGCGAGTTTTGTCAAATGGGCACGCGTGGCAGAGGCTCCCGCTCGAGGTGTCTTCGCGATTCGCTCACAGACGAGGCTCCCGCTCGAGACATCCTCACGAGTTGCCCCTATCGGGGTGCTCAAGTGCTATGCCTGCTACAGCACCACGACGGTGACCCGTCATGAAGTGCGGGCCCCA